AACTAGTATAATGGTAAGTTGCTCTATACATTATTAAATCTAAGTACAAACATGAACATAGACCTGTTTCTCCTATAATGCTCTTAAGGCAGGGTCTGTGTTAAGGAACTAACGCCAGTTTGAATCCAAGTCTACTAGACACTAACACAATCAACTTGGCCAGCTTGTCCCAAGCTATTAGAATCATATGTATTAAATATACTGACATATGTATATATGTTCAGATCAAGTCCTGTTAAAACAAATAGCATTTTAACAAAAATATTTCCATACCCTAGCCAACAGTCCATTCATTTCATATAATATTCAATACCACAAAATTCCACTTTAACAGAGATATGGACAATGCCTTAAAATGCTCTGTAATGAAAACTGAATTGTATGCAATTATACTAACCATATTTATATACATAACACATGTTCATCTGTTCTGCCTCTTCTCCAAGGCTGCACACTCCTCAAGAGAAGGAAAGGGGTTGCCTAGAACTATACAGTACTCTGCGCATCAAGAGAACTTCAACAGTGCCACCTTGTGGTTACTCTATAAACTTACACAGGGAGTTTCCTGGCACACTAAACCATTCAGAAAGCAAATTACAGGGAAGAAAATAAAATCAAATCAGCAAGAAAACAAACAATAAACAATTTGTTGGGAGAAATAGAGTCAGATTAACTTAGTAAAAGCACTTATAATGAACAGTAAAATCACTGACTTCAAAAATTCGCCAGTCTTTTCTTGGTGTACGATGCAGTCTAGACACTGCAAATGCAGAAGACCATGTACACACAGCTGCTTTCCAATCACCTGCAACTCTTTCATACATTCAAAAGCATATTCCTTCTCTCTCCATGCCTCCTCCATTTCTCCCTTTGCCCCACAATTAAAAGTGAATTTAACCGAACAGGACTGTAATCCATACATTCAACATTCAGGGCCAATTTAAGGAATTTTCCACAGTAATCTTCACTAGGAGTGATTTTAGTCTCTGAACTAACTTTTAAACAAATGCCTTCCATCACACACATGATCACACAGTAACCAAGATTCATATTTCTGGACATTTCACCTTATTCTTGTAAAATCTACACAATGAGTAACAGGAAGATCCCTTTCAGCAATAAATACTACCATCCTAGAAAGAAAACATTCATATTTTGCTTCTCCAGAGATAACTAATGGAAGAAATGGACAAGTCATGCTACATTTCAACATTAAAAAAAAAAAAAACAGCAGAGTCAAAACTTTTCTAAGCTAACTCTCAAATGTCCTTGCTTAACACTGCCATTGTAGAAAGTAAACTTACAAACTTTGGAAAATGGATTAGAAATTAGAAACTGGCCTGTTAATTTGCAACCCCAGGTCTCAGCCTGAGCCCCAAGTCTGGGATCTGTGTGTTGTGGCAGTACTAAGCACACGGAGTAAGTCACAAGACAGGCTAAAGAATCCACCAGTATGGGCTGGGGATTTAGCTCAGTGGTTTCGCTGCCTGCTGCACAAGCACAAGGACCCAAGTTCGATCCCTGGTACCAAAAAAAAAAAAAAAAAGAAAGAATTCACCAGTAGCTCTGATTCAAGACACGGCTGGTGCAATGGCACTGGTTTATCCTTGGCTATTTCTAGGCCTACCCTGGCAGGGCAGTAGTAAGCAGCACAGTACACCAACCATGTCAGAAGAAAATATTCTCGTCAGCATTTTCTTCAGGAGTAAAATCTCTGTATCTTACCTAACCAAATTTAAAATGAAAATCAAAAACCAGGAAAGAGACAAAAAACACTGAATGATCAAAAATCAAAATCTGTACAATAATATAATGATGGATACACTTGTCCAAATCCATTAAATAAATAACACCAGGAGTGAACCCTAACATGAACAATGCAGTTGGGGGGATGACAACGAGTTAATATAGGTTCACAGACTGTAACAAAATACTCTGCTGCAGGATGCTGACAGTGGAGCAGGCTGTGTATGTGAAAGAATACATGTGGGAAATCTCTGTGCTTTTCATATAATTTTGCTCTGGACCTAAAACTCTTCTTCAAAAAAAGTTTATTTTAAAAAGTAAAAATCAAAGAAAACCTAACCAGGGAAGTGTGGATGTTAGTGTGTACACCCATGTCTATGTATGCGTGAGAAATGAGGGTGAGGCTGATGAGGGAAGAGGTTGCAGAAACAAGCTTCAAAACATGTAATAAAATAAAAATCCTGAAGAAAATAGGAATAGGTCTTTATCTCCACCTGATAAAAGCGATCTGTGACAAACCCATGGCCAACATCATACTAAACAGGGAAAAGCTGAAAGCTTTCCCTCCGTTATCAGAAACAAGACAGGATGTCCACTATCACCACTTCTCTTCCATATAGTTCAACATTAAGTAGAGCAATTAGACAAAGAATGAAATAAAAGGAATAAAAGGAATATGGATGGAAAAGAAGAAGTTAAATTATCCCTATTTGCAGATATCATGATTCTCTACTAAGACCCCAAAATCTCCACCAAAAGACTCCCAGAACTAATAACCAAATTCAGTAGCATAGAAGGATACAAAGTCAACACTCAAAAATCAATACCATTCCTGTACATCAATAACAAACTCAGCAAGAGGGAAATTAAGGAAATAATACCTTTCACAATAGCATCAAGAAAAATTAAACATAAGAATTAACCTAACCAAAGAAGTGAGAGACCTCTACAAAGAAAACTATAGTACTCTGAAAAAGGAGATTGAAGAGGACATCAGAAAATAGAAAGATACCCCCATTCTTGGATAAACAGAACCAATATGATAAAAATGGACACATTTCCAAAACTGTTATATAGATTTAGTGTAATACCTATCAAAATAGCAACAGCAATTCTTACAGAAGTGGAGAAAGCAATCCTAAAATTCACATGGAACCAGAAGAGACCCAGAACAGCAAAAGGAATTCTGGGCAACAAGGGGAAAGCAGGGGGCATCATGATCCTGGACTTCAAGTTATACTCCAAAGCTACAGGGATAAAAACAGTATAGTATTGGCAAAAAAAAAAAAAAAAAGCACACTTGTGGATCACTGGAACAGAACAGATGCAGAAACAATTCCAGACATATTCAGCTACCTTATCTTTGACAAAGGGGTCAAATCCTTTCACTTGAGAAAAGATAGCTTCTTTAACAAATGGTGCTGGGAAAACCAGCTATTCACATGCCAACGATTGAACCAAGACTCATTTTTCTCACTATGCACTAAATTAAAATCAAAATGGACCAAAGATCTAAGTATTCAGAAACACTTAATCTGCTGGAAGTCAAAATAGGTAAAACTCTTGAAAGCATAGGTGTAACCAAAGACTTTTTGAACAAAAACCCAGTTGTACAAGAAATAATACAAAGAACCAAAAAATAGGATCACATCAAATTAAAAAGCTTCTGGGTCAGGGATTTAGCTCAGTGGTTCCACTACCTGCCTCGCAAGCGGAAGATCCTGAGTTCGTTCCCCGGTACCAAGAAAAAAAAAAAGCTTCTGCACGCCAAAGAAAACCACCAACAGCATGAAGAGACAACCCACAGAATGGGAAAAAATTTTTGTCAGCTACTGAGACTCCATCTCATTCCAGAAAGGATGGCTGTCATCAAGAAATCAACCAATAACACATGCTGATGCGGCTGTGGGAAAAAAAGGAACCTTTCTTCATTGTCAGTAGAAGTGTAAACTGATACAAACACTACAAAAATCAGTATGGAGATTCCTCAAAAAAATGAAAACTAAAAATTCCATTTGACCCAGCTATTCCCCGTCAAAGTATTTTCCCAAAAAACATCATATTGCAGTGATGCATGTATACCCATGTTTATAGTGGTGCAATTCATAACACCTAAATCTTGGAAACAGACTGTATGTCCATCAACAGATGAATGGATAAAAAAAGTACGGTATTAGCCAGGCGTGGTGGCACATGCCTGTAATCCCACCACTTGGGAGGCTGAAGCAAGAGGATCGCTGCAAGTTCGAGGCCAGCCTGGGCTACATAGTGAGTTCACGGCCAGCCTGCATGACAAAGTGAGACCTTGTCTCAAAAAAAAAAAAGTGTGGTATTTACACACAATCCAGTCCTACTCTGCCATAAAGAAGGACAAACTTGAGTCACTTATAGGAAAATGGATGCACCTTGAGAACGTAACGTTAAGTGAACTGAATCAGACACACACACAGCTTAAATATCACATGGTTTCTCTTATATGAGAAAATGCCATATAAATAAAGTACAAAATAAAAGACAGATAATAAGAAAAGAGAGAGACAGGAAAAAATGTTGTGATCCAACATGAACAATGTATCTAAAAGTGTACCTTGATTTAGTATAATTGTGTTGTGTCTTTTATGTTTTTTGGCCTATTAGTCTGGCTATTGATAATTAACTTTATAATGACTTATAAGATAAACAGATGGATCTGATGCTGGCAAAATAAATGCTAGAAGGAAGAGGAAAACAAAAAATTGAGATGTGGTATATACATGTACCAATTCCCTACAATGGATGTAATCATTATATACTACAAACATACTAATAAAAAGATTGTTTTTAATGTAACAAAGACACACTACCAGTTTTCTCAATGTGTTTTTGGTTTGTTCTTGTTTGCAGTACTGAAGTTTGAAATTAGAACTTTGTGCATGCCCCATATATTTTTTAAATTTCATATAAAGGCAAAGTACAGGCATTATATGTAAACTACATCACACTAAAAAGTATCACTTAAAAAAAAAAAACTAAATGAAGTAATAGTACTGACCAATAATTAACACTTAATCATATGAATGGCCTATATTTCCTAGGTAGATGCTAAATTATAATTCCTCAAGTGCTATACTGTACATTGAAAATACAATGTCCCAAAGAAATACTGTTTCACACAGTATTCATTCATACATTTCATAAAGATCCATTCAGTCCCACCTAGGTCCCTGGGCTGGGTACTTCTCCACTGCTCGGCTGTTTAAGAGAAGAGCAGTTACCTGGTAACGCAGTGATAAAGTCCCGCTGCAACATGGGCTTCAGGTAAGAGTTAATATGTCCATGCTGGTAATGACACATTCGTGAAATAAGATGCTCCACAAATTCCACTTGATCTGATTCAGACCACTGGTCAAAATATTTAATACACAAGTCCTTTTCTTTTTGATAGTTTCCTTCTGATGGCCTCTTTCTGGAGACAATCACAGATGATGTTCCATTACTTATCTGTGTTAGAAAGACAAAATAATAGTAATAGTTTGACACAAGAAATAAATTTGTTATTTCATTAGAAACATTGTTCACCCTGTGTATTTAACCTTAAAATGACAGTTTTACCCTAAAGTCAAACTCATCTCTTTATCAATGCATTCTTAAGTAACTAAAAATGTATTCATGGTCCAACTCCTCAAATTAGTCACTACAGTAAACACTGGAGCTATAGCTATTTCTAAAGCTAAATGGTATCTTAAATCATCATTCTCCAATGCTTATTCCAAAGACATATTGTTATTAGATTAATTTTAGAGATAATTGTCTTACGGGAACTGCTCAACTTGGTAAAATGGCAATGGACTATTAACAGTATGGTTTACTTCCTCAAAGTTAAAAGTTAATGATGTGTACAGTAGTCCCTTTAGGGATACATTCCAAGTCCCCTAATGAATGCCTGAAACCATGAATAGTACCAAATTCTACATAAACTATGCTTTTCCTATACATTTATGATAATGATAAAGCTTAATTTACAAATTAGGCATGGCAAGAGATTAATAACAATAACTAGGGTGCCGGAGATTTAGCTCAATGGTGCCACCAACTGCCTTGCAAGCACAAGGTCCTGAGTTCGAACCCCGGTACCAAAACAAACAAACAAACAATAACTAGTAATAACATAGGACAATTATTACAACACACTGTAATAAAAATTATATGAACATGGTCTTTCTCCTCTCTGAAATTTTCCATTTAATGTTTTCTAACCTCAGGTAACTGAAACTGTGGTATTACTGTACATCTACACTAGTGGTTCTCACTTGAGCTTGCATCGGAGTAACAGAGGGCTCATTAACACATACGCTGCTGGGTCCCCCCCACAGAGGTTCTGATTCTAAGTGTCTGCAGTACAGCTGAGAATCTACATCTCTAATAAATTCTAGATGATATGACAACACTGGTCGAGATTGCACATTAGGTACCATACTTTGAGAACACTGGGTCTAACAAAGAAAAGAAGTAGTTTTTATGTTAAAACCTAAAGTAATTTGATCTACACAAAACTCCATTTTACCTGGCAGTTTCGATCCCCTCCATATTTTTCCAAGGTTACTAAATAAACTGCTCACAAAACAGTTTAGGCTTTCTCTCCCTGCTCTTAACCACCTTCTCACATATACCTAAAAATCTGTTGGATAATCCAGATACCTAAAACAAAGCATTCCTCATCAAATCTACTTACACGCCCTTGTATAACATCATATTTAAAAAACCAAAAAACTACAGGACTAAGTAGTAGCTCATTGGTGGCTAGCACTGTGTGAGGCTCTGGGTTCAAACCCCAGCAGAAGAGAAGTGAGGAGGGGAGGAAAAGGGACAGGGGAGGGTGAGAGAGGTGGGAAGGCCAAAGAAAAGAAAAAAAACAAAAACTACATACAATGCACCTGGACAATAGCATGGAAAAATAAACTGAATCCCTAGTCTCAAACCACAGTACTACTGGTGTTACAAGGCTCAGTAACTTTCCCGTTTTAAAACAAAATAATCTCAATACTGTACTTTTGCCAAACATTTGCCATCACTTCTCTGATAGCCTCGTGTATAATACCAGAAGGAATAACATACAGTAGAAGAGAATTTTAAGAAGTAAAGAGTTGAATTACAAATGTCTATTCCATTAGGAATTTAGCAGTCAAAGAACCAAGAGCTTTTGTTACCAGTATGTTCCCTAACTTAAAGTAGATTGAACCCATCTCAGAAAGACATCCTTTGTAAATATCAAAAGGAGTCTTTGACCTTCCTGGATGAAATCTTATAAGTTTCATATCTGAAGTAAGTATTTAAGTTCACATTCAGAGGTAAGGTCACAAGGCATGTGTCTCCCAACCAAGTGTTCATGAATGTTTTTCGTCTTTTTAACTAGAGTAAGGCAGAACTCACCAGATAAGGTACCACCAGGGGGCAGTATTAAACAGGGATTTTTATATTTTACTTGCCTAACCCAAAAACTAGAGTTCAAAACACAGAACAAGTGAAATTCTTTGTTTATGATGAATATCAGAGGTATAAAAAGAGGCTACTGTGCCGCTTTTAAACATAATGATATCTACCACAATATTATAACTGAGACAAATTAGAAATAATAATTACAACAGTTAGTTAAAGCAAATTATAACACATCTACATAGAAGAGCTATAATGTAGCCATTAAAATGTGGTTTATAAAGTAAGACTGTAGTAAGAGAACATGCTTAAAAATTATATTAAGGAACAAAAGGCAAGAACCAGAATTTCATATAGCACTATGATCATAATAATTTGTGAAGAGAGCAAACCAAGACAACGTGAAGGATAAGCCCCACATGGTGGCACACGTCTATCACCACACAACTTGGGAAGCTGAAGAAGGAGGATCATGAGTTCAAGGCCAGCATGGGCTACACAGTGAGTTCAAGACCAGCCTGGGGTACGTAGTGAGACCCTGTCTTTAAGAAGAAGAAAAAACTAAAGGATATACATTTAAATGCCAAAAATGCCTAATCTTGAAAAAGGAAATGTTTATGTTCTCTTCCCTTTTAGTCCCAATTTTTTGATAGTTCGCTAGGATAACTTTCCATAACTGGTTAAATATAATGATAGTAATAACTATAGTGGCATTTATGTATTGCTATATAATTTATAGTGTTTTCATACCATTATCCCATTCAATCAGCAAAAGGATTATTTCATTTACAGAAGGATTCCTAACCACCTCCCTAGAGAATTTTGTACCATTAACTAGCTGACTGGAAGACTGAAGAAAGAAAAACTGACAGCTAAAGTATTAAGAACCACTGTGAATCAAAAAAAATCAATACTAAGTGAAGAGAATTCTACTGCAAAATAATAAACATGAGAGTACAGAATTGGGTTCGCATACAATGTTCAATGAAGGAAATACTCTATTTCCAACCAGCTACTCAGCCCAGCAAAATCTTCCTAGTATTGTTTTGATTTGTTTCATTTCATCTTGTTTGTTGGGTACATGCTATTCTTGCTAACTAATCTCCTTTCTAATTTCAAATCAAATGATATTCATTACTTTCTATAATTTTGTATTATTCTCTAAAGATTTAGGTATGTTTTACCTTTAATCATGTCCTCATGAAGGGGAAATAATGTATACCATAATCGTTGTGAAAACATCAAACCATGAAACTTTATATGCTGTTCCCATCCCACCTCACCCCTCAAAAAACCTGAGATTGGGAGAGAAACTGGCAAGCTATAATACAGCCAAGAGAGGAGACTGAGATTAACAGGAAAAGGCAAAGCAATAGAAAATGGGAGAAAATGGTGCGAGTAGGGAATGAATGGAGGAAAAAAATCATAAATGCATATGGTGTGTGGCTTGGTGCACCACTTTGGTGATCAAAGACGACACCATTCTCCATGTTTGGCCACAGACAGATAGAATATTTTAGGCTACAGCCACCTCAGAGTTTTTGTGAAAACTCCAAAATTCTTTATTTGTAACACCAATTCCCTAAGGAAAAGATAATAAACTATGGTAGTTTCTGAAACTAGGGAAACTGCACAAAAGAAAACTTTTAAAAGCTTGGCTCTTGGGCCCAGGGATTTAGTTCAGTGGTTCTACCGTCTGCCTCGCAAGTGCAAGGTCTTGAATTTGATCCCCAGTAACCCCCCACCCTAAAAAAAAAAACTTGGCTCTTGATTTCATCAAGGGCATTAAGTGAGGGAGCATCTTATCTACAGTAATTTAATTGCTATCTTATTATTCCTACCTGCCAAAGAGTATTTTTCTTTGGGGACTCATCTTCATTTTGATCTTCCATAACTGAAGTGTTCTAAGGGGGGAAAAACAGGTTATTTGAATTATGCCGATTTTTGCAAATGCTAAATTACTACAAGACATAATTTTGAAAACCCAAACTACAGTGTATCAACACAACCCCAGGAACTCTTTGGCTGTGGCTAACGTGCCATTTGGGTCAAGAGAACTATGCTCATCTTTCACATATCAATAGTTAGTGGCCAGACAAAAGTAAGCATAAAGTCTTCATTTATGAAGGTTGGCCAGGCTTAGAAAACAGGCTAAGTTATGGGAGTAGGGCTGCAGCTCTACCTCAATCATCACTGTTATTTACTTGCGGCAAGAAACCCCAGACATCCACAAAGTTCCCAACGATTGCACAAAACATTCTCTAGAATGTCTGCTATTTAGTAATTCAACCCAACAATCAGTAATTATAAGTGGCAAAGCCTTGGAAGTACCCCTGCCTTTCTCCTTCTCCCGCCTTGATAGCCTTGTTTTTTGAGAATGGCTTTGGAATCTCCCCTCACAAGCATGGTGGGTGCCTCAACCTTTCCCCTGGAGACAAGGATGCTGTTAGCCACTAACAACCTGGCTTGCTTTGGGAATGCATTCTCTTTTGATTTTTGTGTTTACTGCACAGAGAGGCACTGTGTAATTATTCTTTATAGTGACCTACTCGCTCAATAGACGCCCATTAGCTGGAGATTATACATGATTGGATTTTCCCTTTTGAAGCTCCTACCTAATGGCTAAAGGGAAACTTAATGAGAAGGGGAAGTGGGAGAGTTGTGCTTCAGAAGGACTAGCAGCTCATTCATGGAGAACAGTCTCTCTAAAATTCCTTTCCAAAGCTAAAATTCTAAGACTGGGGCACAAAATTTAAACTACATTTGTTCCATAGCATTATTCAAAAAAAAGATACTACAGATCTATTTAAGTTATCAAAGCTTACAAGATCCTGTTTACTGCCTGTATGAAATAAGCCTATCTTGCAAATTTTCCCTTTTATGTTCTTCAAGTCCTAAAATGTTTGGGCCCATACAGTACTTCCAGACAATCCATTTGAAAATACCAAATGTAAGTAATGACAGAAGAGTCATCACTGAGCACTAGTCACTCGATGGAGTGTGAGGTAGTTGGAAAGCCAAAAGCTTTAAAACCAAAGAGAACAGCTTAGAGTCCTGATTTAGTCACCCATTCAATGTGTGTGTGGGAGCCTGAACAAGTTACTTTACTGATGGAACAAATATAAACCACACAGAGTTGTGGGGATTGAGACTACCAGCCCTGTGATTAGTGCTTGGTGAATATTCAAAAAGTACTACTTGCCCTCGGCTTTGAAGATGCCGCTTCCCTCCATGTGTTATCTTCTCCTACTTCTCTAACTTCAGAAGCTTTCACAGAATGGCTCCAGATGGCTGCCTACAGGGAAAACCCATTAAACCCTGGATGCCAAGTTTGCAATGGGAAGTGGGCAGGAGGAGGGCTCTGGATGCAAAAACCAACCATGATTTAAAGAAAAAGACAGTACACCCTAGGCCTGAAACAGCTAGAGTGGGGGTAGCAATAAATAATCCTGAAAGGAAAGATGGAATAGAGAAGAAGGAAACAAGGTTTATATGTAATTTTCCTTCTACTGTTATTTTCAAGGAACCTGGGGATGAATAAAGCTACCAGGTTTGCTTAGCCGAACAAACAAGGTGCAAGCAGGAGACTCAGTAGCCATCCCCTGAGCTTGGTATTGCAAGGCCGCCTTGAATATCACAATGTCTAAGAGTGACAAGGAGAAAGAAATCTGCCTGGAAACATGAAAGAATGAGCATGTAAAGGGATGGGGAAGGAATTCAGTGGAAGAAAGATTGGCAGAAAAGAAAGAAAGATTGGCAGTAGGCCCCGTGTCTCTTGCTTCCAACTACCTCAGAGAAAACGTGTAAAGCTAAAAACTTAGAATACATTCTCCTAAGGTTTGATTTTTTTTAACAGATATAGATTTACTATTTAATAAAATTGTATTTAATAAAACCTTGTGTAGACTAAAATAGTGGCCCCATTCTACACATTTTTTTCAACTTCTCTTATAAAGGCACCAAGAGGTAAATGCTCTCAGGCTACCTGATCAGAGGATCATCTTCAAAGAGTATTCCAGGGGCACAAGAGATGATGCTCACAGAAAAAATGGGTCTCAGGGAGGGGCTAACTACATTTGAGAAATGCTGCACCTGTCTGTCTCTGTCTCTCTCCCTCTCCCTCTCCCTCCCTTCCCTCTCTCTCCTCTCTTTCTCTCTCTAGTTACAATTCATTCCATTAATATATTAAAGGCTCTGAAATGCACTACATTCACACATCATGCTAAATTAGTTTAATCCCACTTCCCAAGTTTGTTGGACATGACATCCCCTTTTTATAAGTAGTATCTATTTATAATAGTTCAGCATATACTGGCAAACAGCGGGCTGTAACAACACAAGCAATAATTCCTTCCTCCTACTTCACCAAATATTGTACCCTGGGAGACAAAGGGTATACCCACTTTGGAAAACCCAATACAGACCTCTCCTGTTTCTCATCACCTTTCTCAGCCTGTTATACGAGGCTGTGGGGATAAGTGGTGATGGTAAGAATGGAAAGACCTCTTATGAGAGCCATATACACACATACACATTTAACTTTGACTTTTATTCTTTACAACCAAAAGACAAAATGACACAAATTAAAGGGTTAAGTAGGAAAAAACCAATGAGCCTCCCAAGGGATAAAAAGGTAGTTTCCCACATCCAAATTCCCAGGTGAAACCATGAGGTTAGCCAACCTGAAAGGTGAAATCCTCTTTAAAGACTCCAACACTTCTGAGAAAGGAAAGTCCTTTGACATACCCACCTACCTTATTCAAACCCCACCCTGCTCAGTCATCATTTCGTGCCTCCTACATCTACCAAGGAGAATTACATTTCAATAAATAAAAATTCAAATACCCCACTTTGATCTTACTAGAGCAGGTCAGCCTTGGCAGTACTGACATTTTTGGATAAGTAATTCTCTGTTGTGGGGACTGCCCTGTGCATTACAGGATTCTGGCAGCATTCTTGGCCTCTAACTGCTATCATCACCCACAATGTGACAATCAAAATTGTCTCCATATTACCAATTGTCCCATGGGAGCAAAATCATCCCATCTACTTGAGACTGATGTATTTTTATACTGCCTATCTATCTACCTATCAATTTATTTATTTATAGTGCCAGGGATTTGAACCAGGGCTTTGTACATGCTAGGCAAGTTCTCCACTACTGAGCAGAATCCCAGCCCCATCCCATCCACCTGAAAACCAGTGCTGTAGAAGAGTGGACTCCAAACTTGTCCCTGTGGGAAAACACAGAAAAAGACTGGCATCTTATGCCTGGCCATTTGTTTTCTCTTTGGGCTTCTTTGCTTAACCCGTATGACAGTATGTATGTGCTATTTTTTACATATAGCTTGATTGTACTATGGCCAAATAACTGATGGACTACATAGCAACATATCTAAATTTAGAGGTAAGTCCTACTTGCCATTAAATTCAAACTTGGCAAACCTTAATAATAGGGTTCTTTACAGGACTATGGATCTGGGGGTGTGAACAAGGGCTGTAATATGCAAATATAGCTGCCCATGGAATGGATGGAGCCTAAGCACATGTTACAGTTTTTTGTAATTATTTGGGTAATTTTGATGTATGTCTCTGCTCAAAAATCACTGCAATGGGGCTGGAGATTTAGCTCAGTGGCACTGCGCTTGCCTAGCAAGAGCAAAATTCTGAGTTCAATCCCTGGTACCAAAAAAAAAAATCACTGCTATGGCAAAATGATTTGGCTGTCCCAATATGTGACACTTCAGAACTACTAAATACCACTAGAATCTATTACCCATTGCTGGATCTTTTGCAACTAATACTTATAAAACCAGCCAATTACTGTATATTAAAAGTATGATCAACTATATACCTTGCCTAATAGTTCCAGAGAGGGACAGAAATAATAATAATAATAACTACTATTTAATAACTCCCTATGATAGCCAGGCATTAAAACTTAAAAACTTTACATAGATTCTCTCTAATCCTTACAATGAACCTGCAAGACAGTATACATTTCCTGTTTCAGACAGGGTCATGGCTCAGAAATATAATCAGTTTGCCTGGGGTTATGCATCAAGTAAGTGCCAGTACTCAAAGCTGGACTCTGCCTGCCCATATCTCACTGCCTTCTTAGTAAAATAAAATGTCATTTTAAAAATATGCTGCTATTTTTTAAAGTAACCGAAACACATGCAGAATAGTTTTTGACAGTTTATAAACAGGTCAGCGAAGTAACTTTCCTTTTTCTCTGTGCACTTTCATTAACACTGTACTTTCCTACAGTAAAACGTCTCCGGTGCTTTCAATTGCTGGTTGTGGTCCATCAATCAATTTCATGGGTTGCAACTAGCGCTTTTTAATAAAACAAAGTAGAATCTGGCATTCCCCTGCCCATAAAAGTAACAATAACAAATTCACACAAAAACTCTAAAAAGGATGAGGGGGATGGTTTCAAAGTAAAAGGAAAGCAAAAGCTATTACATTACGAGAACAATATTCAAGGCAAACTGCTGAATAATAAAGATTTTTTAAAATTTCTAAAAAGCAGGGCTGGGATTCAGTGGCACCACACCTGCCTAGTAAGCACAAGGTCCTGAGTTCGATCCCCGATACACCCCCCCAAAAAAAAATTCTAAAAAGCAAAATTTATAGAGGATAAAATGTACTTTCTATACACTTGAATAAAATTCCATAAAGTACACCAAAATTATTGAAATTTTAAAAATATTTTTAAACATTTGATAGAAAACTAAAAAATAGAGGAAAGAAAGGGCAAAGAAAAGAAGTTTGAATTTATTAGATGTATCTCAAACTTTTTATTCTACAAGATTACACAGTAGTTGTTCCCAATGCACTCACTTTTTTTTTCAGTTTCAGTTAGAACCATGTTTTGAAAACAGTTAAGCAGAGAATTTCAGAGACCATTCACATAATTTTTATTAGTGTATTGTTATAACTGTTCTCTTTTATTACTGTTAATCTCTTGTCTAATTTATAAGTTAAACTTTAGCATGGGTGTGTATGTACAGGGAAAAACAAAGTATACAAAAGGTTTGATCTATCCTTGGTTTTAGGCATTACTGCAATTCTTAGAACTTATCCTCCCAAAAGATAAGGCACACTAAAATGCTTTATTTTCCATTTTCCATAGAATATTTTTTAAAAGTGATCCTAAGCCACAGAAGAAATCCCAAACCTAGTTAGTAATCAAGAAGAGATTATTATGTTTAAGATTAAACCAAGTAGAAAAATCTAAATCTATTCTGTCAATTACTACTTGCTATAAATTCCAAAGATAATGATACAGAGAACAATGACTGGAAAAGCAAGCAAATGCTTCTGTCTAGTTATTGTTAACTACATCTAGTTCCCTAAAACCAGAATCTTACCAACACATTGCTGGGAAATAAGAATATGGGAAAGCTGGAAACATTTATTTTGAAAATGGAGAGACAAATTTATCCAACTAGCAGTGCCTATTTCTCATACTAGCCAAGCAACTCAGAAAGAAAAAAGTCATGTGTAAATGTATGCATACACAGGTACCCTGACCATCACTGACCATGGCCTGATGGAAACTTTTTCTAACCTAAACATGCTAAAATGTAAGGACACACTAGTTGTTTTCTTTCTAGAATATAACAAAAATATAAATTACTAATACATTTTAAATCTATTGAAGATTTGGTTGAAATTGCTGCTCCCAATTTTTATAATGCACTAAATTTTCTTCTAAATAATCTAAACTATAATTCCACTCAAATTTCTAAAAAGTATTTTTTTACTGGTACTCTATGCCAAGAGATGGTACTAAACATATATGTTAGAATAAATACAGGAGGATGTTTTTCTTTCCTTCATCACCATTAAAATGAGGAATATTATATACAAATTGACTTGGGATGGGGGTTTCTACATAGTTCAGGCTGGCCTCAGCCTCCCAGGTGCTAGGATTACAGGTATGTACCACCATGTCTAGCCCCCACATTTTCCTTAAAAGCTACAATAATTAAAACAGTATGGTCCCAAGAAAGAGACTATAAATTCCAGAAACAGATTCATTTATACGTATGAATTTGTGCATGATAAAGTTTGAACTTCAAATTAATGGGAAAGGGATAATTCAATAAAGTAAATATTAAAAATGAAGCTAAATGCTACTTGATATCACATATCAAAATATACTACAGATAAAAAGAAATGTGGAAAAATAAAACCACTAAAAACAAGTACAAAATTCATCAAATCGAAGAAAGGATAAGCATGATAGCAAACATCAAAATAGACTTAGATTTGACTAGATAAAAA